TTAGTGTGGTTGCTCTCAAACACAGAATGCAGCCTTCAATCAAGTTTTGGAGGATTTATCAGTGGCTCAGTATGTTATACCCCCTTTTGCTTCACTGGTGGCTCAGTATGTTATACCCACTGATGGTTCACTGGTGGCTCAGTATGTTATACCCCCTGGTGTTTCACTGGTAGCTCAGTATGTTATACCCCCTTTTGCTTCACTGGTGGCTCAGTATGTTATACCCACTGATGGTTCACTGGTGGCTCAGTATGTTATATCCCCTGGTGTTTCACTGGTGGCTCAGTATGTTATACCCCCTTTTGCTTCACTGGTGGCTCAGTATGTTATATCCCTTGGTGCTTCACTGGTGGCTAAGTATGTTATACCCCCTAGTGCTTCACTGGTGGCTCAGTATGTTATACCCACTGGTGCTTCACTGGTGGCTCAGTATGTTATACCCCCTGGTGTTTCACTGGTGGCTCAGTATGTTATATCCCCTGGTGCTTCACTGGTGACTCAATATGTTATACCCCCTGATGCTTTACTGGTCAGCCCCTAAACCTTCAGTGTTGGGGGTTCGATTCTCACCCTCCTTGTTAATCCTGGTTTCAACCATCTAGCTAGGTGAAACGGTGTTTAAGTTACCCTTAAGGTGGCTACGTACTTCTAAAGAATTTGATTGAACTGACATCCTTTTAGCAGTTTTGGTGCATTGGCTGCATAGGGTCCCCAAGGCAAACTTTATTGTTTGTTCTGATCCCGTCTGCTTCCCATGGTTGGCTGACATAATATGACGCCATGGAGCTATACCTGGACTATAATTATGCAGTTACCAGCATGCTTTTGGCTGCATCGTGTGTAAATAGTGTAAATTAATATGGTAAATATCGTAACTGTAAAGTTTGTAGTGGAGTGTGTGTGTTACGTTGGTGTGTAACCGTGAGTGTTGTGTAAATTGTTGGCTTCTGTGTCTGTGCATTTCTTCATGTTAAACCAAGAGTGACTGTTAATAAACAAAAGAGACTTCCATTTTAAAAGATTTGTCATCTCCTTTATCAGAATGATTCATGCACTTACCACAATATGTTTATTTGTGCTCAGTAAGTGGGTCTGCTCCATTGAAAACATTCTGCGCCTTCTTGGGTTGTGTCATAATGTAGAATGAACAAGGTGGCAGCATCGTTTTAAGTTTGTGAAAGACTGTTCTCGCAGATGTGATTTAATTTTGTCCGGACATCCTTAGAAGTGTACAGCTGCCTTTAGTGTGTCTGTGATGTACAGGCACCCATCCAGGGTGTGTCCAGTCCTCTGTTTCTCTGGATAGACTCCAGGCCCAGGCGGACTAGGACAACTCACCATCCAAATAGCTTCTTCCCCCAGGCTATTACCCTCCTAAACACGGGCCCCTGAGAAGCACGTTGCCACCCATGGGACATGTCTACACTTACTCACCCACTGTACTTTATTCTCATTTGCACATGACCCAAACTGTCTGTACCCCACATCCTGTCATACTGCCCTAATCCATACGTCTACATGTTTATTTATTTACAGCACAGTTTCTTATTCTCTATCTCTCTCTTTATCTTCATCTATTATATCCATTGTTTGGTCGACTTGGGTACTTTTTTTTTTTTCCGGACAGTATGTTTAAATTTTATAGTCCTGCCGCCACCAAAAAAAGTCTTGTTTGTCTTTTTGTATTACACCTGGACATTCTTTATCTGCACTACACTGCACACATGCACGAAATCTAACACTGTTTTGTACAGTATCTATATTTAATTTTATTTATATTGTATGTATGTGTAACAGCATTGGTGGGCCAAAGAAACGGTTTTTCCATGTGTATATATGTTGGCAATAAAGAGTCTTGAATTCCTTGTGCTTTTTGTACATGGCGAATAAAATGACTTAGATTCCGATTCTATACATATTTACATTAGCCTTTGTTTTTGGTTTGAGCACTTCTATGTGTGCTTACGTGCAGGAATCAGTGCTGAGGCTGAAAGCTGCGGGGAGGCCGAGGAACGTCCCTGATCACTCTTGTCGGCGTTGAGTCCATTATTTGTCCGGCCATACAGATAAACACAGAGGCGTAGGGGAACGGCAACAGCGACTCGGTTCGTGCTGTTCAAGTGGCATTCAGGGCAAGCAGTGGGTTGTCTAGAGTCTCTTTATTAGACGCTTCTGTTGGGAAGTTCAGATAAAAACCAAACAGCGGGAGAGGAAACACCTCACCTTTCTGGATGTTAAGGCCCGGTCGGTGACAGAAAATCTTGTTTTTCTTCATGTTAAGGTTGGACCCGGGAGAAAATATCTAGTTTTTCTTTGCGTTAAGGTTACACAGGAGACAAAATGCTGTGCTTTTCTTTATACTAAGGATTGCCTGGAAAGAAAAGAGCTCTTTTTTGTGTGGACGGAGGAGAAAATGCCATGTTTTTCATTTGTTCGCTCCCTGTACAGACCTGGGGGAGTCACAAGGACCCAGGTCGGTTTTAACAATTTCCCAAACAACATTTCGGAAGCACGTTGTACCTCAGTCCCCTGCCACGTGCATAACTGGGTAAATTAAAAGTCAGCCACAGTTTGGTAAGAGTTAAAAAGACCACATGAGCTATAATGAAGTTGGACTGAAATCAAATGTCAACAATGAGCTCAAATATTAAGCGTGTTTAGGAGGTCAGTGCTAGTCTGGCAGTGCTGAACATAGAGAAGGACAGACTTTCTGCTGGCATCCAAAAAACCACTAAAGAAATTATGTTGATGCTTTGATGGGTGTTTTTTAGAACTATTATAGTACTCAGTTTTGGCTTTGATTCAAATGCAATGTTCTTCAGGGACATGAGACTACTGTTGATGCAAGAGACTGGAAGGTCATGCTTGACAAAGGGTTTTGGGCTTTCTTGGTTCAAACAAAGGCCGTTTGCTGTTCCGTGGTTGTCGGTGAGGGGTCACTTGTGTGGTACAACAGATTTTTGAATATGGATCTGTTTCTGACTCAGAATTAGATTTTGGTTTTGTAGCCCTACATTTGGCATGCATGTGTCCCACCTCACATTCGTGGACGTCCTGGAGTCGGAAACACAAAGGGACCCTCCAGTCATTGGCGCCTACAGAGACAATGGTGGGGTCAGTGATGGAGATCAGGGTGAAAATGCAGACCTCTCTGAGGAGACCCGCTTGTCTGAAGAACATTTGAACAATGATCATTCCCCTCAAAGACAGTATGTTTATCGTCATGCATCTTGATTTTTAGTGCAAAAGCGCCTCATAGATGGGAGCTTGGAGAGAAGTATGTGGGCACAGAAACTCAAACACTTTTCTCCAGTTGAGTGAGATGGAACAGTCTTGTGTTCCAGGTGCATATTGGTATGACCCTGTCTGCTGTTAATTTATGAGCATATGTTTGTACCCCAGATGGGAGTGAAGTCTACTCACCATCAGACCACAGAACAGACAGATGATCACCTGACTACTTGTTACCTGAGATGGGAATTAATTGTTCTTCATCAACAAAACACAAAGTCAGAGCTGAATAATAATAATAATAATAATAATAATAATAATAATAATAATAATAATGACTATTGATCCCCATGGGGAAATTCCCTTTTTTTCTTACCCCATCTTTCTCTCCATAACATACAGACACATATGTAGGTGACAGCAAGCTTGGCAACTAGACATCTCTTCATAGGCATCCTTAGGTATGCAATGCAATCATGCTGTCCTTGAAAGGCTAGATAGATAGACTCACACAGTTTGAGCTTCTGTGATACCAGTGAATATTATTGTATGATTATTTATATTCTGATACTAATGATTAAAGATCTGAATGTGGCAAATTCAGCTCATTGATTACTTTTGTTCTGAAGACGTTCTAAACTTCCTGTGACTGGAAATGATTTACATTTGGGGAAAGGTTCCTCAAATAAAATATATTGCTCAAGTTGTGAAAAAACATAAAGCTGCACTTTAGCTTATTTATCCACACAGATTACACAAGTCTGGATCTGCTAATATGCTCATCATGGTTACAGAAGCATAAAAAATGAACTAAAAGCCGATTTTTTGGTGAATTAATGTTTCAGCACAGGATTGATTCATGAAAATAATCTTGTTGATGTTTAGCAGTTGAGGCTTAATGATACAAATGGCTGTTTAAAATGAACTGGAGTCAGTGATGATGGGTGTCTCCTCGAGGGCTAGATCTAAAGGAATCTGGAACTTATATCATCCAGAGGCCAGTAATACACCCAGTTCACCCAGTTGGGTGGTTTGGCCTCCTGCCCCATATGATCTGGGATAGGCTCCATAGCACTCACACACATATACTGTATAGACATACACATATATCTCTTCCCAGGCATGGTCAGGTATGCAGTACAATCATGCGGTCTTTCTTTACCATGCACCTGTCCTGGATAATTGATTGGATGGATGTATGTCCAGTTGTTTGACTTATTGACTTACTGTTAACTGTACTATGCCTTTAGTGCTTTAATTTGTATTTGAGTTTAATTTGTGTTTACTAGTGGCCATAAAGATATGCAGGGCAAGATTTTCAAGGACCTATAGCATTTTCCGATCACAAACGAAACCTGCAATGAACCTGCTTTGGACAGAATATGGCTCTGTGTCTCCATGGAAACGTGCACCTGGTCTTTGTGTTTGTCTTCTCAGAGATAACTGGGTTAGGTTTAGGGTTAATTGCACTGGGCGATTTCTGTAAAAAAAAAAAAAAAAGAACACACCCACGGTCCTAAACATTTGATTTGAATGTGTTTTGCTTAATTTATTCTTTTGAGCTGATGTGATGTGGAGGACAGCCTCACATTTTTGGGGATGGAGGATTAAATCCAGACCCAGCTCCATGCATGTGGAATTAGCATGTTCTCCCAGTGTTCTTTGAGATTCCTCCGGGTATCGGGACATGCAGTTTCTGAAATCACCACCAGGGGTGCAATCCCATGACCAGTTCTGTAAACCTGATGCCTTTGCTGTCTGTTTTTCAGTCTCGCAGTCGGATGGCAGCTTAAAGATAAAGAGGAAGAGGAGCATCTTTGGCACCTTTCTCTGCTGCCTCCGTGACTACAATGTGGAGCCGACGTCCAACCACGGCTCCAGGCCCCCGGTGCTCGCCGCTGGGGAGAACGGTACTCCAGCAAAGGTAAGTCTGCCTTCTATCGCTCATCAAAAGGGCCATCAAAGAGCCACCAGTAAAAGTGGGGGACAGTGACTGGGTCAAGAGTTACCTGATTGGACCTGCAGGGGGCAGTAGTGCGTGTCAGACCTAAGACAGCACTGAAGCTACAGTGCCTTCCTCTTTTCCTGTCAGCTCTGGTCTTGTTTACTCACTGATACAGATTTGTCATGCTGAACTTGAGAGTCCCTCACAACAGATGGAAGTCTCCTATTTGTTTCTGCTCCGCCTGAGAACACGTAACTGGATTTGTTCACTTTCTGTCCCTGAGAGGAGTCTCGTAGCTCCTTCTTGGGCCCCGCAGATCGTTCCAGCTGCTCTGAACTTGCTGAACCCTGAGCCGTCTTTCGAAGCCAGGCCCAGAGATGGCAGGCATCTTTGCCAAGTCGCTGCTGGAATCTGCCCATCTCCCGACACACAGAAAAACACAAGGCGCACAGAGACTTAGAAACACATAAACAACAGCAACACTATCATACGCATGCACACACACACACACACACACACACAGGCATGAGGGGACTTAGATACAAGTAAACAATGGCAGCAAACTCAAAAGCTGCAGGCTTTGACACATAAAAACAAGGCACCACACACAGAAATGCACACACACCTCTCCGGAAATGCTGACTTATATACTTCACACGCCACAAATTTTTCTTTTGGCTACGTGCCTCAGTATGATGGATAACTTGATCTGTCAGATGAATCTTCTCCTCACCCAGTGTCACGCTTGATGGCGCACGGAACGCAGACAAAAGCACAGGACGCCAGGAATGGGGGAACACGGGGTTTAATCACAAGAAAGGCAAGCAAAAACAGACTGACAATACAATGACCGGACTGGGGAAACAAACGTAAAGGCGGACTAAATGCAATGGACTAATGACAACAATCAGGAACAGCTGGTAAACACGGGGAATCCACGAGGTTAACGAGGGGGCGTGACACATGAGAGGAGCGGACAATCGGGGCAGGACACGCAGCCCTTCACCCTGACCACTTGATGTGGCTTTTTCATTCTTTTTACCTGGTTTCTCATTCTTACCTGATGCTGGCCTCGGGTTCAAGCATGACAGCGGTCTGAGGTCTGAATCGCTCGTACATGTACATCCCGTCAGCCTCTGACCTTAGTGAACGACGGGCGAAGCAGCTGGGTCAGCGCTTCAGAAACAGAGCGTTCCCAAATTAGCGCACTTCAGTCTGTCTGCTTGAAAGCATCCGGAAAGTAAAAGCGAGTAAACCCCCCCGCTCACTCTAAAAGGCAGTGCAGACATCTGCATTTGTTGTTTGTATGCATTTCTGTACATTTTCCTTCAGCCTGCCAGGAAGGTACAGAAAGAAATTATGTCGAGGACGACGGAGTATATCAGGCGCCTGGCGGAGATTCGACTCCCTCGCTGTGAACTCCCCAGGGACGTCTCGATTATTCTGTTGTCCCGGCATCAAATAATGCTGTGGGATGAGCTTTGCCGGCAGGGGAATGTTATGTTTTTGTTTTTTTTAACATTATTCACTCTTTAGCGACAGAGTTGAGTCCTGCTACCCATAGGTGACTTTTCTCCCAGGGGGTGCAAGGTGAGAGAGCCCAAACAGTCATTCATCCAGATAAATTTGTAAAAAAAATAGTAAATACACTTACTATAAATTATTTTTACACATTGATATGACTAACACAAGCCACTTTTTCAAATATAACTGTACAGTATGGTTTAATTTAATTGAACTTAATATGTACAAATAGCATTTTCATCTGAACGCCACCTGCACCCCCAGTGTAATTGTCTATGCCGTTTCCCAATAGCGGTAACTGGAAATGACCGCAGCCCAGGCCGGTTCGCTGTGTAGCTCTCCATTCTTTTTCAAACCGTTTGGTCTCATTCTCACTTTCTCTCTCTATACCTCCCCAGCATGACCAGCTCCAGGTCCTTCCTACCTCTAGCGTACGTATCCGTCTCTTTCCTGCCTCTCTCACCCCTCGCACGTTTTTATCCCAGAGCAACAGGGTGGCCTGTTCACTTTATTTAATTAACGGTGTGACCTTACGGTTCTGAGCAGTTAAGGACCCGGCGGAGGGGATTTTCTTACGCTCGGGGCCTCGGGATATGAATTAACTATAAATTCAAAGTTTAGTAGAGCTTTGCAGTGACGCCGGATGGCCAGCAGGAGTCCTGCGTCTCATCACTGCGGCGAGATGTGAGCGTGCTTCCAGTGGGATTCTCACAGCTTTGCTATACAATTCACTGCGGTATCCATGGTAACGATGAGGTAAAAAAAAAAAAAAAAGTAAAAGTAACAGAAATGCTTCCAGTCACAAGAGGTCTACTTTAGTTTTTTCTTCATGTATACTTAGATGCAGTACTGTGCAAAAGTGTTAAGCAGTCAAAGGAAATGTTTGAAGTTATGTATCTGGGTAGTAAGTGATTGCTCACAACAACAGCAAAAAAATACAATTTAACATTCAAATTTATGCACATTAAGAATAGCAGAATAAGAAGTATCAGGAGTGTCGGAGTATTATCTCCAAAAAGATACTGATATCTTGCTGGATGGCTAGATGAACACCGCTTCAGATCCCAAACCTCTCCTCAGAGGCACCCCAGCTTTTCGATGTATTCATAACATTTCACATTCAAATTAATTTTTAAATTAAATTAGTTTAAAAACTCAATGTGGTATTGATTGCTAGTGAATGGGGTAAGACTACATGGGTGTATTGGATGGTTGTTACAAATCCTGGGGTGACTTCAGGATAGGTTGGTTTAAATGACTTTTTAAATTACTTTTACAGACGTAATGTCACAGTCATAGACATTTGCGTAGATCTCTCGTTGCTCTGGGAATTGGGACTTCGGACGGGATGATAAAGACTGCCTTTCCATTTCTGTGGGAGGCAGATCTTCTGTGGTCCCATATGTGTAGCATCACCTGTATGAAAAGGGTTGTTGCGTTGTCCATGTTTCATTTCACACACAGCACCAACTTCTCTGCAGCCCAAACGAGGCGTGGTCAGCTGGTTCAGTCTGTTTTCAGTCGATCAGTCTAAAATTGATTTAGGGGCGGAGCCTGTCTCAGCCAATAAAAGCGCTCCATAAATCAGTACAATTTTGAAATGAGAAGGAAAAGATATTATGTTGGGCTAAAACTTGTTATAGTGTCACTTCTCTTGTATTTTACCTGCTCTCAACTTTTGTGGCAGAATTTTTTGTATGTCTGGTATTGTAAGACTGGACCTAAATATTTTCCTAAATATTCTCTTATTTTTTTTAGCATCAGATTCATACATGTATTAATTTATGAGAAGCTTTTATCTAAAGCAAGTACAACTGAGACAGCAAGGTCAGCCAGTTACCTGAAGCAGCGTTTCTCAACCCAGTCCTTGGGAACCCGCTCCCAGCACACCTGAACCAAACAATCAAGAAACAACCAAACATTCAAGAACAAACTGAGCAATCGAGAGGCACCGAAAACCTGCTACAGCTGTGATGGAAGCTGGGAGGGAGTGAAAATGTGGACTTTCTGGGGGTCCCTGAGGACTGAGTTGAGAAACACTGCCCTGGAGCAAGTGGGATTAAGGACTTTGCTCAATGGCCCAACAGCAAAATACCTCTGCTAAAAATGGGATTTGATCCAGCAACCATCTGATTCCCACCCTCTGCTTTGTAGGTGTGGAATTTCCATGTTCATATATTCCACTCCTCTCCAGATAATGCAGTGTTCCCCTACAGTCCAAAAGAGATCTAAAATTGAACTGTTGCCTCTGAATTGGCCACAATGCATGATTGTATGTATGATTGTGTGTGTCTTGCGATAGACTTGCACACAAACCAGGGTGTCCTCTGTCCCATGCCAAGTGCCTCCTGGGACCACAACCCTGTACTGCAGGTTATGGATGGATGGATGGATGGATGGATAGGGGATCCTTCAAAAGTAAACATTGACCTGGATTAGAACTGGACAAGTGACTAGCAGGGAAGAAAAATGTCCTTATGTAAAAGGTGATAAATGGTATGTAGTTGGTTTTTTTTTGGAGATGCAACAGACAGAAGAAATTAACTGTAATTATGATTTATGCAATTTATCCCATGTTTCCACCAAACTAAATGTCTCAAGTCAGCAGAGCTTAATTCCACAATTTGTCTTGATATGCTGAAGACTCTGCAGTCTACAGAAGCCCTAATTTCTAACTAAGAGGGGAAAATGTACTTGGGATTTATTTTCTGAGCCTGGCAGGGAAGAACCAGTGAATGAAGAAAATTCACAGAAGTCATATTTCTCAGGGTTGTATCAAGCCATTTTTTTATTTATTCCAAAAACCATCACGGTCATCCAGAGCATCATAATTTACTGTCCTGCGTGATCCTAGCAAATCCATCAGTTTTCATTGTATCTCTCTCAGCTCAGACAGGGTGAGACAAAGTTATTAGCCAAACTGCTAATTCAGATTAACCACCATCCTGAAGATGCTGATAATAGCCACTATAGCTGTTGTTTTTTTAGTATAGTTTTTCAGCTTTTAAGAAGAAATTAACTAGTATTTTATAGACCTCATAAGAACCAAACTGGCCAACACAGTCCTCCTGAGTTCATAGTTGAAAGCTCATTTTTATCTAGCCAGTTTTTATGATTTTAATATAAGAAAGTTAGGTAAGGTTACCCTTAATTTACCCCACGCTGACCTCACCTTGACCCCACATTGTAGTGTAAGACATTGCTGCAGCAACAGGTCTTACACACCCTTTAATTCACACTTCTCTGAAACATGCGGCTTGGAACACACTTGCTGTTATATGTTTGGGTTCAAGGTTTTCTATAGGTCGGGCAAAAAGCAAATGCACTCAGCTACTGGATGGATAGAAAAAGACCTTTTAAATTAAACAAACAGCACCAACCCATCCAAGTGAAATACCCAAGGCAGGATGCTGAGGTCCTCAAAAACAGACTGAATTGAGTGCTGTCCTTTGTGCCACTGGGACCAGTCAAGTCATCCCATTTCATGAGAACATGCTTCTGGACACCCCAGGTCCTAATTTCTTCCCCCGCTTATATGTCATGTATTTTCATCAGAACGTCTTATCTCAGCAACCATCCTTTCTTCCTTTGTCCTGCCGTAACCACATTTTTGGTCTGTTTATGTTTCCAGTCCCCAGTGAAATACCTCCTTCCTGAGAGAAACACATCAGACTACGGCAAGAACTGTGTGGTGATTGACTTGGATGAAACATTGGTGCACAGCTCCTTTAAGGTAATGCTGATCTGCATAAAAAATGTAAACAGCTTATGTAGGTGGCTAACTTTTCACATGCAGTGTTCACATGCTCCTTCTCGCTCACTATACAAGTTTCGATAAATATACTCAATCTGGCGAGAACAAGAGCCCTTGTAAGAAAGACGTGTGAGGCAGCTATTTCAATAGAAGGAGTCATTGATTGACTTTAAGAAGTTATTAACTTTGCCTCAGCGCTAAAGCCCTTGTTTGCACAAGGAGGCAATTCCCAACTGGCTTTTTTCCCCATTTTTCGCTGGCGGCCTGGCCCTTAGCGGATGGGGCCTTAGGCTCGCGACCTGAAGGCCGGCGTGTAGCAGCTGGGGTCTTAGGCTCGCGACCTGAAGGCCGGCGTGTACATGCTGGGGTCTTAGACTCGCGACCTGAAGGCCGCCGTGTACATGCCGAGGTCTTAGGCTCGCAACCTGCAGGCTGTCGTGTACCGGCCAGGGTCTTAAGCTCGCGACCTGAAGGCCGGTGTGTACCGGCTGGGGTCTTGGGCTCGCGACCTGAAGGCCGGTGTGTACCGGCT